CTTACCGAGTGTACTCAGTTCGAAGACGCCATTGCTTAAGTTTGTTTTCGTCGCGGAGCGACACATCGGCGTACGAAGCTGTCACGTGACATTTGTCGGTGCTATTCGGTCACGTGAGTACTCATCTCCGACGTGTTTCCTGATAACTACTGTATTCTTTTTGCGAATAATTCGCTGAAGTTTGGAGACATCATTAATAGAAATATTAAAACGTCATTCCATTTTAAATAGGGATTAAAATCAACATATAACGTATGACAATGCAATACTGTATACAACTAATAATTCTGCTCTGCTTTTAAATGGCTTAATCTCTTTCATGTCAAACAAAATTGAATTATATTTATTTACATCAAGACATTAGACGTCTTATGTTGCATCTGACTAATATTTATTATCATAATATATATCATAATAAAATTATTGTCGTTAGCGAGCGTTTTACCTTTGTTGCTTCATATAGTCAATAGTAATACTGTAGTAAGTAATTTCTAATTACAATAAAAATACTATAGTATATTATGATCTATCACGTGATGTCTCCAAAGTTCAGCAAAAAGAATAGTTATCAGGAAACACGTCGGAGATGAGTACTCACGTGACCGAATAGCACCGACAAATGTCACATGACAGCTTCGTACGCCGATGTGCCGCTCCGCGACGAAAACAAGCTTAAGCAATGGCGTCTTCGAACGAAGTACACTCGGTAAGTATTCCGACAATTTTTTGTTTATAACATATTTTATATAGGTTATTCCCAAAACATTATACGTGTTTTGAAAATATTCGAGTCAAATTAGTCTAGAATCGATTAATTTTATGGAAGAAAACCTTTCAAACAGCTGTACCCCCTAAACTGCACAAGTGCCAAATATTCTTCAATTATATTAATACTAGTATCCCGGGACGCCTCTAGTGGGCATTCTTTACAAATTCCCGTGAGGCACGGTTCCTTTGACTTTTTTGTTCCTATCAATATGCTCTACAGCTCTGTTAAAGTCCCAATCGCATCATACGGATCTAGATTTCTACCTATTAAACATTCTATAAATACTTTAAAATAGCTTAATTTGTTTATTTACCTTCGCTTGTAAACCTCGATTTTAAATGTATCCGCCATTTTTTCAACAAATTTCCCGTGAGTTAATGCGCGACGTTCAGTGAGTCACGGGATGTTGTAAACGTGCGGTGCAAGGTTAATCAAGGCATATAAAAAGGCAAGGCAAGATATATAATAATTATTTATACCATTCCGTGGTATAAATAATAAATTCATATCAATAATAAATTCCTATTATTGTTAATTTAAAATCATCGCTAGGGCGTCTCTAGTGCCCGTTTTTGGCATACCGTTACGCGGACGGACACGCGTTCAATGGGTTATATATATAGATACTTTTAAAGAAAATTATAATTAAATATAGCTTTGTAAAGAAACGTGCATAAAAATAACATAAAATCTTCTTTACTTTTTAAATCTTAAAACAATCCACTTATTCAAATAGCTCCCCACGAGTGACTAATGGATGAAATCAGAGACGGTCCAGGTAGGTGCATGCACGCGGGCTGCCAAATCCCCAGGGTGCCGATACTGGTCGATGTCAAATCAGTGATGCCAGATTGGGCTACAAGTAGCGGATTGGGCTACTTTTTAAGTNCACACCCTGCTCTATGTAAACAGAGAGGTCAGGACTCGTGCTGACGTCACTAACTTGCCATTCCAGGCTAACATTGTAGAATAGGGATCTGGCTATCCTTGTAGTATATAGTCCTTGAACCACGCTACTTTTTAACCTTCAGATCCGGCAACACTGTGTAAAATACGTTTTGTCGCACCACTAGTATAGCTCAAAGGACGCGACAGGGTTGTTGTACATTTTAAACGTTTCTCGCCATAGCTGTAAAAATCTAAATACAGTGAAAACTGCTTAGGCGACCACCTGCATTCGACGGGCACCTGTCAAAACGGGCAAAAATTTCTGGCACGGAATAGTTTATCCATAGAGTCTTCGTATAAGTTACCTGTATTAAACGACCACCTGTGTAACGCGACCGCGGGCATCGATTTTTGGTCCGAAACAACATAAAACACATGTAATAAGCGACCACTTTCGCGAATGTATCTGGTCTAAACTATTGTAAGAATCCATCTCAACAACGTTTCCACCTCCTCATATAATGAATTAGTCTAAACTCTCGTTCGAACCCATCCCGGGCACTTCTCCCACCCTTGAAATTAGGTGCAGGTGTTAATAAATTAGTCTAGCAACAAAGGAAATTCATTTCAGTTTGTTGGAAAATGTCCGAAATGCAAAGTGCTGTCGTTAGAAGATCGTATTAAAGTTATCACAACAGCAATTTAGCCGCGAATTTTAACTTTGGAAAAACAAAATTTATTTTACCTTAGACCTACAGTATTTTCCTTGGGGTGTAAAATATTGTACACGATACAATTAATTAATTAATTGGCTGATCTCTTTGTTTGATAAAATCTATTTTTATTTATTTACTTTGAAGCTCATATACAGTACACGTGTGATAAATAATTTCTGTATCAACCTACCTTATTTCCACGATATTTTTAGAAAAATAATATCCAAGTAATTTTCGCAGGCAAAATATTCAAAAAACAATAAACGCATTAATGCAAAAATCAGTTTTACTTCCTTTTTCGATTCCGCGATTGTAATGAAATCGTATAATGAGAAAAAATAATAAAATCGTTTTATTATTAATTAATAATTTTTCTTATTGTACTTAATTAATTAAGAAAATATTAAATATTAAAAAATACAGTATTTTTAAAGTTAAAATAAGATTAAACTAACGAAAACCAAAAGCAAAGTGATGGAGAGATAGGACGCGCTTGTATATTGATGACGTAATACACGTAACTGAGGAGCGAACGAAAAGAACCGAGTCGAATTAATTAAGTCGGAAAAAAGAAAGTGTGCATTATAATCGAGAAAATGCGAGTATTGTATTAATCTTTAAAATATTGGTGTTAAATCTGTCTTATAATATCATGACGACTCCTGTAAATCGGGTTATCCGATAAGAATAAAATACAATACCAATATAGCCCTATCGTTGAAAAAATTCGCTTATTTTTGCTCGACTCGAGTTTTGCTTAGTAGAAATGGCTAAAAAGTGCGCAAAATACGTTCGGAAATACGGTATTACAGCACCACCTGTATTGAACGACCACCTGTCTAAAAGACCACTTTTTGAAGGAACCGTGGGTGGTCGCCATAGACAGGTTTTACTGTATGTTAAACTTAATACATTGTCCGTCGTTTGTTTTCTAATTCGTTTTAGGACCAGGGTTCATGGAAATTTCCAAAATTTACAACTTTTCGGTCACTCTCGTTGAACTGGAAAAATTTCTTTCTTTATTACATCTAATGTTTCGAAGAAATCAGTCCCCACTGTACTCGGCTAGAGATTGGTTCGGTTAAGCTTTTGTTTAAGTAAAATTTCGGCTCTTTCATAAGAGTTTTGTTTATGTCCCCAATTCCTTAATCGCTTAATTATTTAACTAGTTCTTAAGTGGAAATAAGTCGAAACCGGTTACTTTGTACTTGAATATTTGTAGTTTTGGGAAAAAAGTGGAAAAACAAATTTTCATGAAAACGGATACATAAATCGTAAATTTAAGGAAAATAAATTCTAGAGCTTTTTCTGTACCTCGTGCATCTCTCTCATTCATTAATTATCTCGGATTTAGTTGTAAATGATGCTGTCAAAGTNACGGATATATAAATCGTAAATTTAAGGAAAATAAATTCTAGAGCTTTTTCTGTACCTCGTGCATCTCTCTCATTCATTAATTATCTCGGATTTAGTTGTAAATGATGCTGTCAAAGTAACAGTTAATTTTTTAACATTATACAAGAATTGTACACTTTTTTTCTACATCCCCTTAAAGATGGGATAAACGAAATTGTAATATTACCGGTTTAACATTGAAATCCGTGAATAATATAAAATCGGAGAGAGGAATAAAAATATCAAATATTTTAATGGATTTTTTTAAACTCCTGTCAACTATACAAAACTATCATAAAAACATACCAGTAAATTCTTATCGGTTGGGTTAAGTTATAAATCTACTCGCGATTCACGTAATCGGGCGAGGGCGGCCAAATATCTAGCAGGCAGGCGGCTAACAGCCCAGAACCGGTCCTGGATAGAATTGGATGCGGTATACGTGTAGCATCATCCAAGATCCTAGGCTTCCACTAGCTAAACCGGGCGAGGTTGCTGCTCATGCGCAAATCTGGCTTTTTGGATGCTGACAATATAGCGCTTCTATTCCGCCACTAATATTCGAATATACAATAGCAATCTTATTTTTTTTCACGTGTAGTATAGAAATTTGTAATAAGATACATAATGCGATTAAATAAAATATTAATTTTAACTATATGAAAATAATCGCACAATACGTATTTATTTTTTAGAAAATACAAGGGAAGTGGCGCATCCACCGCTTCCAATGACGGCACGCCACTGTTTAGCACACAACTACATCCTGTTACTGTTCAAAATAAAATCGGGTTATTTCACATTTGCTTTTAATCAATATGCTTTTCATATAGAAGAAAAAATAATTAGAAATCGAATTCTATGGAAATTCGAATTCTATGGCATTTCTTCTAGCAGACAATATTTCTTCTCTGTTCTAGGCATGTCTGATTTCTCGAAATTCTACGCGCGAATTAAGATGGCCGAGCTGTTAAGCTGACAGCCTACCGCTCCGGAAGATTCGGGATTCAATCCGGACGGAACGAAAAACCCTAGGAATTATTCGGAAACGATCCATTCCGGAAAACTAAATTCATTATGACATATTATTGTAAATTATTAATGTTTTAACTTTTTCAAACTCAGCATTTTTTTATTATGACATTTAAAATTTTCACAATTAATAAGGAACGTTAATACATCTTTCCTGTCGAATTACATGACGTAACAACATAGGAAGTAGCAGACGACGTTACCATTTGTTTGTGTATAGAATTTTAAAAGCGATTTCTTCGAAGCGCCCCTAGGAAAGAAAATAGAAACAAATATCAATGTTTTGGATACTCCTACAGTAGCGTACGCTCGTACGATTTACGGATATTTTTTTTCCCCGCTGGCCGTTATTTTTTAAAGGCACAAGTTTATAAGTGATATTTCGCAAATATGGCACAATTTCATAATTAAAATGACTACATTAGTACAAAGACAGCGTTCGCGTAGGCGATTAGCTGCTCTGAGTTTTCTCTCGAATATATCGCTAGACGGTACTCACAGGGATACTAAATTGGGACTTTTAAATCTTAATATTAAGAGTATACATTCGAAGGAAAACGAAAGTAAAGAATATGACTACACGAAAAAGAGTGTTAGACGACGAGAGGAAAAACTGGAAACGTCCAATTCTATGGAGATTCCTGTTCATCCAAGCAGCCCGAAATGTAGAGATAGGTGAGATAATTCATTTGATTTAATCTTTATGTTTTGCTAGATTTAAATTTAGTTTTAAAAACCTTAAAAATATGCATACAATTCCTTTGTTTTAATGCAAGCTTTAAACAGAATTGAATCATCACTTTTTTTTTTGGATGAGTGAACTTAATATTTCTATATCTAATATGTGATTTGCAGCACAGATTAATATTTAAACTGAATTTTTCAGTCATATACATAAATAAGTTCTATATGATTCAATTGAAAAATTCAGTTAATTCTAATGAAGATTTCATATACAACATAACTAATTATGGGCCAAAGAACTTTGGAAACATTAATTTATGTGCTAATGTTATAAATTTAAAATAAATGTAATTGTTATCTCGTAGCAATATGTTATTATATGTATCCATTTTAGTAAGATTTATCTGGGTAATAAATTTTATTTGTCTGTATTAAGATATATTTTTAAACAAAACTATTGTAAGACAATAAGAAGGCATAATTGATTGATTAAAAAATGAAAAAAGTAGTTTCTACAAATTTAAAATTAGGAATCATGACATTGTAACCACTGTATTATGTTTAGTCTATTTTTGTCTTTACATTCTAAATCTGCATTTTGCTCGTTGTAAATAAGTCTATGAAAATTTTGTGAATTTAAATTATATGCGAAAAAATCTTAGTAAAATCATGTATACGGTACTATATTTGAGAAATATTTAATGATGACGTTTTTAGAAGGCTGCAGTGAAATAATTTTAATTTTGAATTTGTTTGATTTAAAAAAGATACTAAGTTAGGTTGTATAAAACAATAGATTCTTTTAAAATTCATTATAATTTTATTACACACATCTAATCTGTAGCTTTTACAATGTTTTCTGATTATAATGCTAGTTATCGTGACAATGGATTAAACTTTTAGATTTAGAACAATTTTGATGTAAAATAATTTAAAACAAGGTTGTCCAATGTCCAAAGTCATTAGTGCCATATATTATTTTTAAAGAAATGATTATACTCTTAATTAAAAATCTTGAAAGTCAACTGTATTAAGATAGATTTTTTTTTCAGTTTTTTAAATATAGTATAAAATATTTCACTGTTTTTTTACCTTATTGACATTTATATATATGCATATGAGGGGGGCGTTTCCAACTCTCGGTGCTGCTGGTGAACTTTTCTACGCACTTCATTTGTGACAATAATTTTAAAATCAAATATTTGATTTAATCATCTTTTTTGACTTGATAAAGGAAAATTAATAGTTAAAAGCATAAATAATAATAAGGAAAGTTTAATATTATTGGCAATGCAACGTATATGCATATGCACCGATACATTTATAGATACAAATCATATAAATTTATAAAAGATTTATATTTATTCTAGAAAAATAAATATTTTTATGTAAATGTTTTTTATGTGAAAAGAAATAAAATTGGATTACATCCAAGGATTGTTAGTTAAGAAAACAATAATATATATTTTTTTTATATTGAGGAAAGTTTTTCATTTTAAAAATTCTAATTTAATATTTTTTTATTCTTTTAGTTTTACTTTTTTCAAATATTTCTCCATATAAAAAACTGTTGATATGATTTTAAATTACTATTGAAATAAGTTAAGAGAGAGAAATTGATGGAACAATGCCAATTATAAGTTAGAATAAACAACATTCACCTACATAAATGGAAATGATGTAAAACATTTATTTGGAAGAATAAAGAGTTATGTTAAAAAATATAATAAATAAAATATTTATTCTTAGATTTTGAATGTAAATTAATATAAATCAATGTCTTAATAATAATATCATGCAATTTTATAAGTTCAGTAATAATTTTTAAATTAAATTTATATTTTTGCTTCTTTTACATTATATTTTATTATTGTATTAGCTATAGCCATGGAAAATTATTATTTAGGTTTTCAGGCTAATTCACAGAATTTTTAAAAGGATTGGATTTTAAAAAAGAAACATTATTTTTTCATAATACAATTTATTAGTTTTTATAATATAGGTACTGTATATAATATAAACAACATTTATCTTAGTAGACTAAGGAGGAACTGGATGGATATAAAATGAAACTACTATGCTAATAAAACTGTATAATAGGCTCCTGCAGTTTTAGCCTTGCAATTGACAGTCTGGAAAAAAATACATAAGAGAAATTCTTAATTGTGCACTAAATCCATGCTATTTTTAAGATGCATGAAGTCTTGTAGCATCTCACTTAATCAAGCTCATTCTCATTCTGAGAAAGTGCTATTGTGACTAATCTCTTTGTTTTGCATTAAAAATGGATTCATGTCAATCTTTGTTTGGAGTTCTCACTGGTAACATGTTGTGTTTGTGATATCAATGTTTCTTTTTGTTTCTTGCATAGTAATGCTTAGTAGTAACCATGCATAGTAACCACGTTTGCTAATTATGCTAATTACTGTGCAAACATGGCTGCAAAATACAAGGGTAGTAATGGTAGTAGCTCTGATAAGTCAAACAAAAATCATAAGTGCCTATATTTATTTTTTCTGTGACTTTTTTCAGGGAATGCTGTTTAACATCATTTTCATCATTATGATTTACAATAAATTCTTTATGGCAACATTTAGAAAAATCTTTCCTGTTGTTAAATGATTTATGTATCCAATAATAAGTATTCTCCCATTAAAGTTTAAATTTGCACTTTCTTTTCAGCTTCTTATTAGTAGACTTGCTTAATACTTTAGCTAAGTTTTAGTACAGCACAAAACAACAACTTATTGATATAAGCACAACCCACACAAAGACATCTGTTACAACTATTGAAAAGTTGTCAGAACAGCAGAACCTTGGAGTAAATAGAACTGTATAAATATGCATTATGTCATCTCTTCAATCTCCAATCTTGTCATTCCAACCTAGACTTCGAGTAATGTTGCCATGCAGATTTATTATCATTGTAGCATACAAGCTTTGTATTATTTGTATCATTTTATTACTTGGCTGCTAGTTTTTGTTTGAGAGTGCTGATATAAACCTGTATATGCTTATTGTGTTGTTTGTACTGTTTGTGTGTTTTAATTTTCTTGAATATTTTCCTAATCTCTTTCATTGAGTTTGATATTACATTATTTCCAGTGTATTGTGTCAGCCTGTGTAGTTGTTGTCTAATGTTATGAATTTGTGTTTAAGTCTTCTTTGCCAAGCTTATGATTTGTCTGTGTTTTGACTATGTTGTTTGTGATGGTTTAAAAACATGGTATGTAACTATAGTGACTGTACCAGAATAGACTGATGTGTGGACCCAAAAATAACCGGATTTTTTGTATAAAAACTTTATTTATTAACTTTTTTACAAAATTCCTTCAGTCACCTTCAATCAAAGTACTCTCCATTAGATGCGATGCACTTGTCAAGTCTTTTTCCCCACTGTTTGAAGCATCTCTGTAACTCTTCAACCTTGATATCGTTCAGTGCCCTTAGTGAAGCTGTTTTTATTGCCTCCACATCATCAAAACGCGTTCCTTTTAGTTTTTCTTCATTCTCAGAAACCAAAAAAATTCGCACAGGGCTAGGTGAATACGGAGGTTGGAGAACGATAGGCCATCCTCGAGAGGTCAAATAGTGAGTCACTCGTAATGCCGTGTGTGTGGGGGGCGTTGTCGTGATGAAGGAACCAGTCACCTGATCGCCAAAGTTCTGGGTGTTTCCTTCGCACATCCTCTCGCAGACATCTTAACACTTTTTTGGCGGATTTTTTCAACGTTTTCATTATTTCGAGATGTTGAAGGATGCCCAGAACTTTGCAGGTGGAACAAAATAACAGTAAGAGGAACACAACACTATGCTCAAATGCAAACCTACAAACTGACGCAAAATATAGAAGCCGTTTACACAGCTGTTTCATGAAGGTCTCTACTAACCCCATGTAACGGGAGAACTCTCTACTATGTCTATGAATGGCAGCACGTTCTCAGTTTGGCTTTTTTGGGTCCCTCCTCATAAATATGAAATTGATTATGGTTAAATTTAATTTGATAATATATATGTATTTAGGTAGTGTAGAGTTCCCACTTGTTTTGATGTGAGTATTTTAAGTATTCATGGATCTTAAACCTATATATTTAATGAGTATTTCTTAGGGAATGTGTTAATTAATTCTGTGTCACTAGTTGGGCTACAATTTGAAAAAACTGTAAACCTATAAATTCCCACTGTTGTTTGTTTGTCTGTCTTTCCTTAACCTCGAGAACAGAGTTAGTTAGATGAAAGACGAGACTAGATATGGAAACCTTAGAGGCAGGATGCTATATATGAACTTACAATGCAAACCGGAAATTGTTATTTCAATTCAAAAATTTTTCCCTGAAAGGTGTTAGATAGATGACTGGCACAAGTCTTGGAAAAGTATGATTTACTGGGGCAAGCCACTACTAATCTGAGGTGGTGAGCATATATTTTAAATTAAATAAATTAAAAATATAATTAAAAATTTCAGTCTGGCATTGTGACGATGTCACAATAAATAATTGCTTGCTGTAAATTTGTTTTACTTAAGTTTTCATTGGTGCATATTGTGNGGTAAATAAATTTAAAATGAAATTAAAAATTTCAGTCTGGCATTGTGACGATGTCACAATAAATAATTGCTTGCTGTAAATTTGTTTTACTTAAGTTTTCATTGGTGCATATTGTGCTGTGTACATTTTTATGAATGATTGTTATTTATGTATAGTATATTGTTATTTATGTATACAATTAAACAGATACATCAATTGTTGTATTGATGTATCTGTTTAATTGTAATTTGTTAAATGCAATTTGTTTAATATGTTCAAGCATTGTTTATGCAATAAGGTTGTTGTGTATAATTGTTCTTTCCTGATTAACAATGAACAACCCTTTGTTCTGTAACAGTGAGATGTGGACCACCAGATGGCCAAGTGGTTATAGTGATTCTACTACTATTGCTTTACTTTCATCACTGTGTGTGATAAAAAATGAATGAGACGAGATCATAGCACAACTGAGTTTATTGTCTTCCTTGCGTATATGATACATGTCTTAATGACATGGCTAACAAAAGAACTAACCACCAACTGTCTCACTGGTGAGTTTGAACTTGTTCCAGGAAGTGATGACCTGGGTTTCATTGCTTCTTTTTCACAACGATTAAGATGTGAAGGGTGGTGTTCGCCACATGGTCAAGGTGACAGCCTACAGTTGTGGGAGACCTGGGATTGAATCCAGATGGGTCAAAAAGTCCCCAGGAATTTTTCAGGGGTTGTCTGACTGAATATGTCGGACCCTGTCCCTCATCACCCGGCTGCCCCATTGTGGGTTTGGCTGAATTCATAACGGACTTGCTAAAAGAGACCTCTTAGTTCCTATAGGGCAGAAAGAGTAAAAAAAAAAAGTGAGATGTGATTATTTCTCCGTGAAAATGTCATGTAGTGTCTGTATGCTGTCATGTCTGTTTCAAGTTTTGTAATGGTGTAGTAGGTACAGATGATGAATTCATTCATTTCTTGAGTCCATTTCATCTGTTGGTATGGTCAGTGGCTGGATTGCTGGTGAAGTAATTTGGTTAGGTCATGTTCAACATTGACAAAATATTTGAATGAAACTTTTTTTATCACTCATTGTTATAATGAGATTGACCTAGATTCTTTGATATAAGGATGGATTCGGCAGACATCCATAATCTGGGCTATAGTTCTGTGTAATATCTGGTGTAAATGTTTTATCTACTTCCTGCAATTCTCCTCTCACACTTCTGCACTTTTGCCACAGATTTTATTGAAAACTGTTCAATGCTTGTTAAATTTATCCAGCTGTTTGTGTTGAATCTAGTATGTCCCAATTATTGTCTGAATTGTTCAGCTTTTCCTTTGAGAAATTTCCCATTGACAGGATAAACCATTTTAGCATATACTTTTCATCATTTGAAATTCTGTTATTTATTAAAACTCCAAAATCCTCTCCTTGTTTTTCAGATATATAGTAAGACTACTCAATGGAATGTCAAATTATTTTGCAATTTTTGATATTTTATTTTTGTTTTCCTCCATAGTCTTTATGACAGATACTCTTTCTGTTATCATTAAAATCTTTATGTTTTTGTTAGCCATTTCTTTTTTACTTTGGAATGAAAGTGATCAATACACTGATTAACTGGTCACTATTTGCAATGAAGTGTGTTCAAACTGTATAGTGAAATTTATACAAATGTTTAATTCCAAATAAGGAGATACAAATTCGTAAATTTGATTGGCCAGTAACTCAATAAGTTGTCAAATCACAGAGGTGTTCAAAACATTTTGATATTGCTACATTTTTAAATTTAAAAAATCTGAAAATTGAAAAAAGTGATTTTAATGCACTAAGAATCATTGGTCAATTTGCTTTAATTGGTCAATTTAAGAATAAGATTGTTACTTTACTTTAGGCATAAAATGTTAAAATTTTGAATTTTATATTATGCAGAAGCATAATTCTGTACAATACCAATCTTCAACTTTGTGATATCATCATCCATTCTCTTGAAAATGCAGAAGGAAGCACACAAAATTAGACATGAAATAGTCTTTGGATCTTAAATTTCAAGTGAACAAAATGTGGTCTTAAAATTACTACAACTTGTAGAAAAACAGAATGCATTGACTCAATGCAAACTTAAATTGGAACAAAAATAAAATTTGAGTTAAGGAAGTTTGACTTATTGAGTTTGCTGTGTTGTAGAATAAAATTTTCATGTTTTAAAATTTTTATTTTTGCAGAAGACATAGTTTTATGTGTGAAACTAGAACTAAAATTACCACAGTATCACAGAGACGAAAGAGTCTTCTTCGACAAAGATCTACTCAAGAGTCTCTTCCTTCTTACAATAGCATGGAAAGTATAGGTCAGTTGTTTTCTATAAAATATTTATTTATTTGTTTTCAAAGAAAATTATATATTATATGCTTTACACATCAGTGATTCCCAAACTTTTTCAAGCCACTGCCCCCCTTGGTTCTATAAACATATATCCAATATCCCTAACCCATTTTTCTTTGTATGAGAAAGGCTTAGAAATATTCTTAGAAAAATCTTTCTATGAACCTCAAACTTTGTGTCCTTACCATACATTGTTCTCCACATATGCAAACCATTAAATGCAATATTTCATCTTATCCATTTTAACAGAGGAAAGGAAAAAGTTGCTAGTGACTCTTTGCCTATGATCACCATTTCATATTTTGCCTCCAATACCTCTGCTGCTCACTTGCTTTATTTCACCCCTCTAGATTTACTCACTGCCCACAGGGGGCAGTAGCACCAACTTTGGGAACCACTGCCTTACATGAAAATATTGCAAAAAATAATATTTTTGCATATTTTATAACTTATTGATTATGAAATATAGATTATAACAAAACTTCAATTTAGCAGACATCTATACTTGAGTGATAAAATGTCCAGTCTTAGCTTAGTAATAAGACTAATGATGTATATTAACTTTCATAAAGTAGACACTTCTTTCTATAGACAACAAACAAAAGTATTCTATTCTTTCTATTTTTCAAACTCTATTAAGCAGACAATGTAATCAATTACATGTTTTTTGTGAATTTCATTTTTTAACTGTCATGTTTATCTTTGGTGCCATAATTTTTAGGGTTTGGTACCATACTTTTGTAGGATTTGACAACTTTAAGGAAATAATTTTGTCTTTAAAGTTGATTTTTATAGTTCCATTTTTAGATAATGTTTTTAAACTCAGTGTCAAAGATGAGTAGCTTAATACTGGAATTTTTCCCTTACATAATGGAAGATGGGAATTAAGAAATTCTGAGTATTTTGAAGAACAAAAGAAGCAAAGTAACCAAATGAATTATGTCTCAGGAAATTTGGCAAACATCACATATGGGAGATTTGGCTAGGATAATCAATAACAGTGCCATTCTGGTATGCAGGAGTGTGATTTGAAGTCCTATTCCAGGCCAAATCTTTTCTAATGGATTTTTCTAAATTATTTAATGATTAACTTTTAATTGTTAATTTTAATACAAGATGGCATTTAATCTTCTAGTATCAAGTTATGTTAATTAATTATTGTATAAAAATAACACTATAATTTTGGGAATTCCTGAATATTTATTCCTGAATTTTAATCTTATTACATACTTGTTCATGAAACAGATAAATATTGATTATTTGAAAAACCACTGATTTTTGTAAAATATACGGCAATTATTTAGCAAATACATGTCTTGAGCAGATGCCTGTCTTCAGTGGACAGTTTTTCCAGTTTCAAGAGTGTCTACTATTTTTAATCACCAAAACTATTCTATTTTTTATATATTCTGTTTCTAATTATTACTTACAAATTACACTAAATGTTTTTCTAGAATCAACTTTTGTGACAAGCTTAAAATTAATTTTCTTATTTTCTGTAACCAGCTTTAAAAATTATCTTTCACCATATATGATATAAACTTTAAAAACTTAAATATTTCATAAAATTTGAAAAATAATTAAATTTTAAATTTACATGAAATGTTTAAATTTTTAAAGTTTATATATATATTATTAAAAATAGCATAAATTAATTTATAAAATAAAAAATTTAATATCTTTCAGTGTGTCTACCACATAACAGGAAACCATCTACTTCATTATCAGAATCATCTTGTCCTGGTGTTTTGGAAATTCATTATATTACTACTCCAAGCGAACAGCCAATACATGATGAGAGGTAATGTGACTGAGATGTAAATTTAGAATCAAATTGAGAAATGTTTGTTTATGTGCTTCTATAGTCATCAAAAATTTATTCATACATTCAATGAAAATATGTTTACAATATTCACAATAAGAAATTGTACATTTATTTTCAAAAAACTGAAATAAAACAAGTAAATCGATGTCTTTCACATATTTTAAAATAACAATGGTTAAAAAAATTATTTCCACAGAAAGCAAAATAAGCTAGTACAATGATTGAATACATATTAATGTTAATTAAAATTGATGAGCAATTATTTATTGTGTGACATCATCACAATGCAGGACTGCAATTTTTAATTATCTTTTAATTTAAAAAAAGTCATGTGACTTTCAGCCCAGAATGGAATTTTGTATATAGTTAATCAGGATTTTGATCTCTAAGTTTTCCATATCATGTTTAAATTTTTATCTAACTCTGTTCTTGAGATTATTGAAGGACATACAGACAGACAACAAACAGATGACAGTGATAATGTATAGGTCTACAATTTGAAAATTGCTGCCCAATAAAGTTGAAGGATATTTTTTATTTGATGACCTTAAAATTCAGCATTAAAAGTATCAATACAAAAAGCTTCTATTTTGTTGACACATAGTTGGTGTGGTTATGTAAAGATATTTATTCTAAACATCTTTACATAACCATTCTTTTATTTAGTATTAGAATAATCAATAATGAATTATCAATACAAATACAGGGTATCTGAAAATTGGCATTAAATTTTTTGTTATATTGGGAATAGACAACATATATACAACAAAAATATACACAGCATAAGTTACAAAAGTATATATCACAAGTTTAATTCCTATTAATGCAATTCAGTGTGTGCATCATTTACAGTATGACAGACATTAAAGGCTACTTCACCTCAAATCCATGCTTGGGTAAGCAAATCAATGGGAATTGCTTCTATGGTTGCATATATGTTCTATGTTATTCTCTCAGTAAGTGATGAAGGGATTAGATTCTTTTCATGATATATTAAGTCTTCAATATGGCCAAAAAGAAGAAATTCATTGGCATCAAATCAGGACTTTGCAGTGGCAAGCAATGGAACCTCCTCTGCATATCCATTTTCTTGAAAATTGGTTGTTGAGTACATTCCACACAATCTTATTATAGTGGAGTAGGGCTCCATCCTGTTGGAAAATTAGGCCCTTCACGTTCTCAGTCTCTGTAAACACAAAGTTAGCATATCCTGTTCCAAAGTTCTCCAGCATATCTAGGTATGAAATATTTGAATTTGCTGGAGAACTTAGTGTTTCCACAGGTTGAGAATGATGTAATCATTGCCTCATGAAAAAAATGGTCCACAATTTGATCATGCATGATACTGTATTTGACATTGACTTTTAGACTGTTACAGATGAATTGCACTAGTTCACATGGATTTGCTGAGCCCCACACTTGACAATTATGACAATTTCCTACTCCATGGATAAGAAAAATTTCCTCACCAGAAAACAAAATGTTCTTGAGGTAGCTGTAATTTTCATTAATGAGATCTAACAAGGTGGTAACAAACTCAAATCTTTGTAAAAAATAAATTTTTAATTGTGTTGGGATTATCACCTGTGGACATTTTAGACTGTTTTATATTTGTGCAGAGTAGTAGCCTACAAAGAAAGGTCATCTCTGCAGTGAAGAATACTGTAGTTATTCCTGGTGATTGGACATGGTGAGCAATGAAGATATGTTTAGTATTTGTAATGTAGTTTTTACTGTATTAAATTCAAATCTTTGTAGTTTATCAAATTAAAACTTGATATTGCCACTTCACAAAACTACTAAAAACACTATTGTATGACAATCCTTACCAAAAATACTTAGGTTTGAAACCCTGGAGTTATTTTCAGACATCCTATATCTAATATCCTGAAAATAACAGATTTTATAGATCACTAAAAAAAAAAAAATACAAAAAATTAGAAAGATACAAAATTTGGAATAAGCAAGAAAAGAAAAACAATTACTTATTAGGACAGAAATATTTTAAAGTAATTCAAATTGATAATTTAGAAATTGCAACATTAATAAATAATGCAATTGCTTATTTGTTTGAACGTAATGAAATTGTCTCAGATTCACAAACTACTTCTAACACAATATGGAGTAAAGCATATCAGAGAAATTTACAAGTGGGTGGAATAAGTCATAAAGAGCAGAATAGTATGATTAGGGTATAATTGAAGTAAGAAATGTTAGCAATTTATATTACTATAGTGTAAGCAAAGGATTAAGGTGTTCTGCATTTAAGACACTAGTTATGAGTGATAATGATAACTGATAGAATAAAAAGACAGCTTAAAAATGTCTGTTCCCAATGATAATAACTTTATAAAGAATGTAATTATATTAACTTTGAAGAAGAAAATACTACTATGTAAGGAAACCAACATTTTCTTAAAGAAATGTCTGATAACAATAACTGAATTCTGTTTACAATAAGTGACATTTTAGAAGTGTATGTTATTTATATGTTTTGGGATATGCTAATTTTGATAATACTAAATTGCTGATAACAATATCTGTGATTACAATAAGTAGAGTCTACTGTTTATATGTATTGTTTTGTTCTTTTTTTTCAATGAAAAGAATAAGAATAAAATAATACATATAAACAAATGCCTTACAGATATTGATATAGTTTTTATATTCTGAAGTTTTTTTTCTACATTTCTAGCATTTGAATGTAACAAAAAATAAACGTGCAATTTGTTTTTTCTGATTCTAGTGAATAATTATGTTTCATGAATGGTTTTAATAGCTATATTTAATAACTAGAAAAATTCTATTTATTACATTATATTCTAAGTGTATTTTGAAAACAATTAGATGTTTTTGTATTCCTTGTTATAAAATATTTTAAACTGAAAACTATGACATTCTATCATTGTAATTAAAATATCCCATTTCAACATTATCTATAGAAATATTTAGCAGTTCAAATGCAACCAAATCTGGTATGGTAATATTTCAGGACATGCAAAAGACATTTCTATAAAACTCACCACTATGGTACTTTTGGCATAAAAATGCATTTTCTGTGCTATAAGCATGTGTTGCAGTCAAATTCTGGGTATAAAAGTGGCCACCACTTTTAAATTTCTTTCTTATGGTCTATAATAGCTATCTCCTTACTAGAATCCACATTTTTTGTGAAGCTCTTTTATGAAAATAAAGGTAACTTTGCAGCTGCACCTTGGAAATTTTACCATTGTAAGAGTGTACACCAAGGGTCATGGACCCTAGTCCCTAGTCTCAAGAGAACTTGAAATTTTCAGAAGAATGATCACTTGATTTGAGGAAGTTGGATGTCTGGGAGTTCAATATGGTTGAAGGTACAAACCTATCATTTCACTTTATTGAAGATATTACCACAGTTGTGCCTACTGCACTGAAGCCAATAGTGTTTCAGGCTTTAGTAATGCACACGCAATGTTACAACAGTTGTGTGTATTCTTAATTAAGACACAGTGTAGAAGGTATTGAAAAGATTATGCATTGTTATCAGTATAAGATCAGCTACAATGAGCAGTTGCTACTAACAGGAAAACCCAATTGACTTTGCATTGTCTTTCCTTTTCAGAATGGAAATGGATGTGTTATGGCCATTGGAGATTTTGTGGAGCAAAAAGACACATTTTTACATCAGTGGAACAGTGAATACCTTAAAGCCCTTTCGTATAATTTGATTTGAAACGATGACTGTGGTTTGGTCATGGTGCCATATCTAAGCAATGTAGCCAACCATGTCTGCTTATGGGAACAATATATGATATTTTCTGTATTTTCAATTAGTTTGGTTTTTACACTTAGTTGGAGCAGTGGTTCATGATGGAGAGATAATGCCCCATCTATATATATTTATTACATAAATGAAAATTAATCAAATTGTGGCGGTACGCCATGTTTTTGTAAATAGGGGTAGATATAAATTTTATTTCTCCTAAATTCCTTTGTCTTTAACGTGTTTCTAGAACTTTCTAACCTATTCCTTTTCTGTGGGTGGGGGACGACCTTTGTCCAAGGACAAAGGGGAGAAGACAAAGGGGACATTAAGAAGCCCTGAGGCCATCAGGAGAACGAACAAGACACTTTCGGGTCAGCGTCCGAGGTGTACAGACGTAGGAAACAGCAAGCAAAGGGTTTGTCACCTAGTGGGACAAACGGAGAAGGCTTGGAAGTCGTCTGCGAACGGACGAAAATTAGAAAGACACCCAGATTAAGACCTCAAGAAAAAACGCTCCCGAATTCTCAAGAGACGGAATCAAGAGGAAGGAAATTGAGTTAATTCAAGTACCGATATAGAGAAGATCGGAGACTCCCAAGTTTACCCGGGTACCCCCACAAAATCTGTCCTTTATACTTGTCCCTTCCCTTCGTATCTCTTAATTTCTTCACCCTTCTTCCTTAGCATATAAGCTAGATTAAGGTAGATTTAAGTAGTTGTAGTATCTTAAACCATAATCTTTTTATTGTCGCGAGCACGTGTTCTATTTGTGAAAATATAGAATTTTGTCGGACGGATTCGAACTTGTGCACGTACTATAGTTTGGGATCAAGTGTGTTTAGTGTAAACGAGCCAGGTGTACGAAGGACTAAGTAGCTGCAGTTGAATAAATATCCTGTTTAATTTTATGGTTACTTCTTTGTCATCCTTTTTTTGTCCTCCACACCACTACAAAATAACTATATTTCACTGGATACATCCAGTAAATATAAAAATAAATTTAGTGGTAGCATTTTCTACTTTATTTAATAAGATAAGGCAAGACAATTCTAGATTTTTTAATTACTTTTATATGTCTGTATCAACATTGATGAATTATTGAGCTGTTTGTAAAATACCTTCTTCACTTCAGTCATGAGAAACCTGCAGCCCGTGAGATCCTAATATGTGGTCTCCAGGATTTTGGCAACATTTTCTAAATTTAATCATTTTGTTGATTAAGATTAAAATTTAATCAACAAATATATTTATTATTTTTTATATATATAATTATTATTATGACAATGATTGACATTTTTTTTCAAATAAAAATCATTAAGTAAAAAGTATTTTTACTAATAAATTTTAGCTATTCAAATAATAATTTGTTTTGAAAAATTAGTTAGTTTGCAGCATTTTATAATTTCTTAATGTACGAAACAATACAATAATTAGACTTTATCAATAATATATATTGTTTTAAAATTTCAGAGTAGTATTGGTGTCTTCCAGAAAAGCTCCAATGGTGATTTTTTCTTCATTATCATCTTATACTCGTAGAAATTCCCAAAATTTAACCAAGTAAATAAATTTTCCTTTTAGATTATGTTTAATTATTATGATATATTATGGTATTTATTGACTGTTGAACACAATCTTGTGTTCAACAGTCAATAAATACTAAAACATGGTTTCAGAAAACAAAAGAATTATATTATGGTATATAAGATATAATTTTTGTTAAAAAAGGCTTAAAAAAATTGTCTTTCATCTTATATGTGAAGTTGTGATTTCACATAAGCTAATGAATTTCCCAAAGGGCCTTCAGTAGGCTACAGATAACTCCTGTGTTGCCATCTCTTAAATAAAAATGTTATTGTTTAATTAAACATATTATTATTATCATCATAGGTAAGCAGCTTTTGCATGTATTTATATAGAATATTTTAATGATAAATTTTAATTGTAAATGACTTATTTTAAACTTCTCTTTTTCCTTGATAAGTAAATGTGCATTCTAGTTTTACTTTGTTTTTTAAAACCAGAATATGGAAAAATATTTGGGTCAAGTGATAGACACATAAGATGACTTATATACTCTAAATATTCTATAGTGAAATGAGGGTGCATCTTAGATGCCTTAAAGTATTTTTGGAAATCATGATTTCTTAAATTGATATTTTTCTTCTGATTATTTACAGTTTAGATATGAAATAGTGTTGAATGTAATGGTCAGATATTATTGTAATCAATTGAACATCTTTAACTTCTTAACTTATTATAGAATGCCATAACAAAAAAATTTAATTAGCCACTTGGCTATCTGGTTGTCATTGATTCTTGATTAAAAATTCTTAGATGTTTTTATTAAAGACTTTGTGAAAATTAAAGTATATGCTTTCTTGTGAGTTTTTAGTAGAAATTTATTTCTTAAAAATATTATTTGTTTTAAATATAAAACAGATTTTCACTGTGTTTCTAGATCTTTTAAAATATAATTTATTTATTATTTTGATAATGAATAGTTTTAAACATTTTTATAACATTATATATATATATATATATTAGTTTTATGTATGTTATAAAAATGTTTTTATTTGAGTCATTTAAAGCAGATAAATTATTTTT